GACACGGCTCTCCCAACCCCCGCTCAGGCTAAGGGACAGAGGAGGTTTGTGCCAATTGCTCCTCCAGCCTCCGAGGGGTTTGTGTCACGTACCTTCCTCTGGGGTAGGGGAGGGCAATGGGTCACAGACCTGTCCCATGCCTCAGTTTCCCCACAAATTGAGCCCCGCACTCTTCTCGCTCTGTCCCCAGGGGCCGGCCTGCAGTGCGAGGTGTGCTCTGAACTAGGACAGACCTGCACGGGCAGCCTGCAGACCTGCCCCCCCCGGCAAGACTCCTGCGGCATCTTCCTCTCCGAAGTCACGCTGGGTAGGTGGGCTGGGGCCTGGCGCTGGGGGGGCTCAGGGTGCCTGGGCTCTGCTCTACCCCTCCCCCGGGGCCGGGGCGGGCTGGCTGGGTGGAGCATCCCCTGTAGCTGCCCAGGTGACGAACCAGCCGGGGCTCCCTGGGGATGGGCCAAAGCCAGCCAGGTGGGTGGGAGCCGCCTGGGCCAGCCAATAGGAAATGCCGAGGGGGAGGGTGTGGTCTAAGCCCCGCCCCCCACTGAGAGGTTGGGTTTCTAGTACGAGCTCGGGTTGGGCACCGCGGCCGGGAAGCTCTTGCTGGAATCGGGTGTCTGGCACAAAACGCTCGCGAAGGAGACCCCAGCAGGTGGGGGCACATCTGCCCTGCCCCCCTCCATGTAGCCACTGGTGGAAATTTTCAAATTGGAAGGGAGTTGCGGACAGGAGATTCAGGGCCCCAGGATTCCTCGAAAGTGGGGACGCGGCGGGTGACAGATCTAAATGCCGGCTCAGGGGCTGAAATCCCTTAGTCTGACCTTGCAGGATGAGTCACTGCCCTGCCCTGTGCCTCAGTTTCCCCGCACTTCCAGGCTGGCTAATCGCCTATGGTTGTCACTGTGAAGACGAGTGGGGTGTTAATGGGGTGCGCATGGAAGGGGAATCAATCTCCGGCTTTTCCTCCTGAGCAGGGGGGATAAAGTCCCAGACCATCCTGAAGGGCTGCGTGTTGCCCAGCCAGTGCACAGCCGGCCCCATCTCTGTGAATTTTGGGACGGGAATGACAACGGCGAGCATCGCCTGCTGCACGGGAGACGCCTGCAAGACAGTCAACGTCACACGTAAATCTCCCCCTCTCTGCCACTCCTCCTCCGGCCTGAGCATCCCCCATGCCTGGACCCTCCCCTACCTGCCTGAGCCTGGTCCTCCCACCCCCCAGGGGGCGCTCCATAGAATAACACTCAGCGCCTGGGTGGGTGGAGGTTTGTGGGGGGGCTGCAGTCCCCCCCGGGGGTGAACCCAGCTGACCTCACTCCGGTCCAGGACTCCCTGCTGCAAATCTCTCCCCTGCCGCCTCCGGCATCGCCAGAGCTGCAGCGCCCCCTGCAGGGGAATCCGGGGCGGAGCAGTGCAGCCCCCAGCGGCTCTCCCTGCCCCAACGCCCTCTGGGGCTCGTTCCATGAGCTCACTGTGTTTGCCCCCCCTCTTCCCAGTGCCCCCACCTGACACCGAACCCAATGGCCTCCGCTGCCCAGCCTGCTTCTCTGCTTCCCCTGCTCCGTGCAGCGAGGAGACCGTAAGTTGTACCGGATCCGAGACCCAATGTCTCGAGGCTGCTGGGACCATCCACATGGGTAACGTGTGTCTGCTTTGTCAGGGTTATTTCTCCTGTGTTGTTCTAGTCAGCAAAGGGCAGAAGAGAGATGCTGGGGGGAGGGAAGATACCGGCTGCAGATCAGGACTCCTGGGTTCTGTTCCAGTGCTGCCCTCTGGTCCCCTCCCTGGGCCTCAAGGTCTCCTCCGTCCATTGTTAGTTTGTAGTTTCGTCTGTAAGCTCTTTGCGGGAGGAGCTGGCTTAGTGCTGGGACTCCTGCTGTGCCAGGCCCTGGACCGAGCACTGACCCAGATTGGGGTGCCCTCCTGTAACAAAGGACCCCTCATGAGATATAACCCATTTCCAAAGCAACTGTCATCCAAAAGAGGCAAAACAAGGATTTTTCTTCCCATTTTAAAGATGGGGAAACTGAGGCAGGGAGCAGTCATGTGAAGCTAGTGATGTGAAGCTAGTCTGTGATGTGAAGCTAGTTTTGTGCAGTCCGATCCTGGTGTCTTAGCTCACCACCCAGCCACTCTGCTTGATGATCCCACTGCTGACACCAGCACTGAGCTGCTGCTTAGCAGATGAGTGGTGGGATGAATCCAAGCCTGATCCAATCCAAGCGTCAGTGGTGGGCTCTAGCTCAGGACTGCAAGTGACTTGATTATGGTCACAGCGGGAGCCTGTGTCAGAGCGGAGAGAATGGGGGGGCCATCGTGGGCCAGGCAGTCTGGAAGGAGCAGAGCCAACGGGGAAATGGAGGATGAGGGTGGGGCTGGGGTGTCCCAGTTCAGACTGAGGACCGAGTTACTGCTCTCCCCCTGCATGCAGGTGAAAGCCAATTACAAGTCAACATGAAGGGCTGCGCTTCTGTGTCTGCCTGTGCCCAGTTCCAGGTGGGTTCGGAGACCTTCCTGGGATCCAATGTGACTCTGACCGCGGCCAAATGCACAGCGGCCTCCGGTGGAACAGACGTGCCCCTGTCAACTCCGCCCCCCAGCCCAGCCTCCACGACCTCCGGTGGTGCGGGCGTGGCTGTAGGACCGGCCAGGGTCCTCCCAGCCCTCGCTGGCCTCCTCCTGTGGCTTCTGTCCTGAGTCCCCTACTCCGGGCCAAGCACCGTCGCGCTCCGGTGTCCCCCTACGTCCGGCACTAGCTGCCCGCCCTCACACGGGACTTCTGTGCCCGGGGTGGGGTCACTGCTCCTGGAGGCGGCTGCACTGAATAAAACCAGCCAGAGTGCGAGGGATTTGGGATTGGCTTTATCGCGCTGGAATTCTCATGGGAGGGGCTGTCAGGAGGCTATGGGCTTGAACTGCAGCGAGGGAGGTTCGGGTTGGACATTATGAAAAACGTCCTGCCTGTCAGGGTGATGAAACACGGGGATACGTTGCCTGGGGGGTTCTGGGGTCCCCGACCGTGGAGATGCCGAAGAGCAGGATGGACACTCATCTGTGAGCGATGGTCTTGGTGGGGCTTGGTCCTGCCGTCACGGGATGGGACTTGATGACGTCTCGAGGCCCTGCCGGCTCTGGGATTGTATACAGCAGTGTTTCCCAACCTTCTTTTATAAAGTACCCTTTAAAAAACCCCCACACAACACATACTGTAAGTACCCCCACTACCTACAGTTTTCAGACACAATTTTTTTCTACCATTGCAACACGTTTGTTTAAACAACTTAATTGTAGCTGGGCAGGCAATTACATTTTTGGGTGTAAAAAGTACAAAAATAATAAAGAGCTGTAAAACTTAAAACAAAAATTCAGTTTTCTCCAAATTTCAGTTGTGCTGATGTACCCCCCATACTTCTGTTGAGTATCCCGAAGGGTACTTGTACCACTAGTTGGGAAACACTGGATTAGACCACTGGACGCATCACCCCCCCCGGTAACAATCGCTTACACTGGGTTTGACAGGAAATGATTGTATTAAGTACAAGCAGTAGGACTGAAGTGGTGATAAGTGAGAACAGGCAGAGCAAAGCAGGTTACAAATCAAAAGAAACTAAATTCTTGGCTAATTTGACACTGAAACCTCAGCACAAACTCCTCACCTCACCCTCAAACCTCTTTTCCGGCTGCCCCTCTAACCCAGGGCTGCCTCCCCATCCTGGGGTCTCAGGCGCCTTCCTTCAGGTGCAGCCCCCCCAAAAAACCCAGACCTCCGCTTTCCTATCCTTTTCGTTAAAGAATTGAGGCTTCTCCCTACCAACCACGGCTCAGACCAAAGGACTAAGTTTCACAATTGAGGGTAACACCCTCCGTGTCTTTCATTCAGCTTTGAAACCTCCCAAGTATTCCCCACTCCGTGTGTCTAATTTGACACCTCAAAAACGATACCTACATCAAAGACAGATGAACAGAACCAGCAGATCATGACATGAAGATCGATGGGTCACATGAAATACTTCACTCCACACACTTTTGAGCTCTGTATATTCCTGTCCTTAAGTCCATTTCATAAAGCATGAGGGAGGGGGGTCCATCACACCCCCTTTAAAAAAAAGAGTTATAAGTACCTCTGGTAACTACAGTTTTCCGACACACAACATTTTTTTCCACCTGTGAAAGACCGGGCCGGGTCCTGGCACCACTGAGGGCATCTGCTCAGCATGAATTGCTCCAATTCGGGGCTCTATACAGTCCCCAGACTGGAGACCCTCCCAAGCAGGCCACAAACCAGTCCCACAGAGTGCTCCAGCTGTCAGCTCGGCCAGCCAGAAGCCTCACAAGCAAAACCCCTCCAGCACCCCAGCAATGTCCGTGCCCCAGAGACCCTCTGGGCCTCATGCACCCAATCTCACCATCCCCAGACAAGTTCTGTCCAGTTCCAAGAAACCAGCCACAGATCCCAGGTCAATTTACCCTCTGGATCTTACCCACACATCACGCTGAGCCAATCCTTTAGAATCTACCATCTAAAGGTTTATTACTAAAAGAACGAAAAGCAGGAGAGTGAGGTTGTTAAAGTACCATACGTTACATGCGTCGAATCTCCCAGTTCTCGATACAGGCTCACAGCAGAGATGTTATAACTGCTGGCTTAAAAGTCCTCGGTGCACATGCTATGTCAGAATGGGTCCACTTTCCTTCCCGGCTTGTGATTCCCTGTGAGGCCGCATGTGGGCTCAGGAACAGATCTGGAGACGAAGATGGAGTCGGCCACGTGGCCTATTTATCCCTCTTCTGGTTTCTTCCAAGCCGGAGAGAGTCACATGATCTCTAACCAGGCACCTAGATTCCTTCATAGGTGGGTCTCTGGTACTTAATAGACCTTTGTCCATGGACTCTTGCTAATTAGCATGTCCATAGGCTAAGCACATTGCTCAGCCATATACAGAGAAACTTCCAGTCTCCGCACAGAGTACGTATTCCTAACTCCACACACAGACATTATACAGATCTATGACGAGCATATACAGAATCAGTAGAAGGTAAGCTTTGCTTTGACACCTCACATGGCCCCATTCGTGCCAACTTTTGGGGCGAACACCCCACCCCATGGGCGCAGCAGTGACCTGGCTGCTTCCCTTAAACTCCGGTAAGGTGACACTACCATTGCAACACGTTTGTTTAAACAACTACATTATAGCCAGGCGGGCGATGGCGTTTTTGAGTGTAATAAGTACAAAACCAATAAAGCGCTGCAACACTTAAAACAATCATTCCATTTTCTCCAAATGCCAGTGTTGACCTACCCTGCCCCACACCGACTTCTCTTGAGCACCCCCAGGGGACTCGTCCCACTGCTTGCGAAACGCTGGTATAAAGCCAGTGGCTGGACTGGAGACAGGTTCCCCTGGAAGGGGGCAGGTAACCAAGCGCAGAGGAGGTTGGTGCAGGGCAAGGAGCAGGCAGGTTGGGGGGGAAGGCAGTAGAGGAGGGCGCACTGGTGAACCCAGAGGTAATTCCCAGAACAGCCAGCAGGAGGCGCCATGTTGTAACTCATAGACTCATATAACCCAAGGGTGGGTAGAGACCTCAGGAGGAATCGAATCCAGGCTCCTGCCCAAAACAGGACCTGCCCAACTCAACCAGCCCAGCCAGGGCATGTTCCCTGCTGTGACGGCGCGTTGGGGGTTCCCCGTCTCCTGCACCCCGAAATGGCGCAAACAGACTGCACCAGCCAGTGGAATTGAGGGCGGTTTATTGCTCCTCCAGCACAGCGCAGCACAGATGTAGTCTGGTCACAGGAACTGGGCTAGGATGCCTCAGGCCCCCTTGAGATGGGGGAGACTGGGCCCCTAAACTCCAGCTCCTCTCCCTAGGCTGTCTCATCCATCCTCACAGACAGCCACCAACCAACTCGCTCCCTTCCAGCCCTGCCCCCAGCCAAGGCAGCATTCCACCTTCCTTTGTTCCTCTCCATGGGGGGTGTCTGGCCACTGGTTTGCATAGTGACTCATCCTGTTTTGCTGGG